GCCCTTTTTGTATTGGTCTGGGTCACTGACTCTATGTGGGATATAGCTTCCTCTTTTGTATTGGTCTGGGTCACTGACTCTATGTGGGATATAGCTTCCTCTTTTCTATTGGTCTGAGTCACAGATTCTATGTGGGATATAGCTTCCTCTTTTGTATTGGCCTGGGTCACTGACTCTATGTGGGATATAGCTTCATATTTTGTATCACACTGGGTCACTGACTCTATGTGGGATATAACTTCATCTTTTGTATTTTCTGGGTCACTGACTATATGTGGGATATAGCTTCCTCTTTCGTATTGGTCTGGGTCACTGACTCTATGTGGGATATAGCTTCATCTTTTTAATTGGCCTGGATCACTGACTCTATGTGGGATAGCTTCATCTTTTTAATTGGCCTGGATCACTGACTCTGTGTGGGATATAGCTTCCTCTTTAGTATTGCCTAGGTCACTGGCTCTTTGTGGGATGTAGCTTCCTCTTTTGTAATGGCTGGGTCACTGACACTATGTGGGATATAGCTTCCTCTTTTGTATTGGCCTGGGTCACTGACTCTATGTGAGATATAGCTTCCTCTTTCGTATTGGTCTGGGACACTGATTCTATGTGAGATATAGCTTCGACTTTTGTATTGGCCTGAGTAACTGACTCTATGTGGGATATAGCTTCCTTTTTTTTATTGGCCTGGGTCACTTACACTATGTGGGATATAGCTTCATCTTTTGTATTGGTCTTGGTCACTGACTCTATGTGGGATATAGCTTCCTCTTTTGTATTGGTTTGGGTCACTGACTCTATGTGGGATATAGCTTCCTCTTTTGTATTAGACCTTGTCACTGACTCTATGTGGGATATAACTTCCTATTTTGTATTGGCCTGGATCACTGACTCTATGTGGGATATAGATTCCTTTTTTGTATTGGTCTGGGTCACTGACTCTATTTGGGATATAGCTTCCTCTTGTTTACTGGTCTGGGTCATTGACTCTATGTGGGATATAGCTTCCTCTTTTGTATTGGTTTGGGTCACTGACTCTATGTGGGATATAGCTTCCTCTTTCGTATTGGTCTGGGTCACTGATTCTATGTGGGATATAGCTTCATCTTTTGAATTGGTCTGGGTCACTGACTCTATATGGGATATAGCGTCATCTTTTGTATTGGTCTGGGTCACTGACTCTATGTGGGATATAGCTTCATCTTTTCTATTGGTCTTGGTCATTGACTCCATGTGGGATATAGCTTCCTCTTTTGTATTGGTCTGGGTCACTGATTCTATGTGGGATATAGCTTCCTCTTTTGTTTTTTCTGGGTCACTGACTCTATGTGGGATATAGCTTCCTCTTTCGTATTGGTCTGGGTCACTGACTCTATGTGGGATATAGCTTCATCTTTTGTATTGGTCTGGGTCACTGACTCTATGTGGTATATAACTTCATCTTTTGTATTGGTCTGGGTCACTGACTCTATGTGGGATATAGCTTCCTCTTTTGTATTAGACCGGGTCACTGACTCTATGTGGGATATAGCTTCCTCTTTTGTATTGGCCTGGGTCACTGACTCTATGTGGGATATAGCTTCCTCTTTTGTATTGGTCTGGGTCACTGACTCTATGTGGGATATAGCCTCCTCTTTTGTATTGTTCTGGGTCAATGACTTCTTGTGGGATATAGCTTCCTCTTTTGTATTGGTTGATGTTAGTTGAGAAAAATACATAAAAATAATTATAGAAACCCAATAAAGTATAGAAATTAGAAAAGATACAGATAGCTATTAAAAATATCGATACCTAAAAAAGATAGACCTAGTACAGATATACAGATCTAATAAAATATTAAAGTAAAGAAAGATGCAGACGTCTACATAATATAGAAGGTACTAAAAATAGTGATACCTAATAAAAATGTAGAGACCTAAGAAACATATAGAGACTTAATAACATATAGAAGTTAATAAAGGTACAGAGACCAAATACAGAAACGTACAGGATTCCATAATATATCCTTTCTTTTTTAAAAAAAAAAGAATAACTCCATGCCGATGTTTGTTGCTGAAGTCTGATATTCATGGACTTAAATGCGACCTGAAACAAGCTATCATATTTGTTGCTGAAGTCTGATATTCATGGACTTAAATGCGACCTGAAACAAGCTATCATATTTGTTGCTGAAGTCTGATATTCATGGACTTAAATGCGACCTGAAACAAGCTATCATATTTGTTGCTGAAGTCTGAAATTCATGGACTTAAATGCGACCTGAAACAAGCTATCGTGTTTGTTGCTGAAGTCTGATATTCATGGACTTAAATGCGACCTGAAACAAGCTATCATATTTGTTGCTGAAGTCTGATATTCATGGACTTAAATGCGACCTGAAACAAGCTATCGTGTTTGTTGCTGAAGTCTGAGACACATCGGCTCCAAAGCAAACTGAAACAAGCTATCGTGTTTGTTGCTGAAGTCTGATAATCATGGCGACCAGAAAAAAGCGAGTCTTTTGAGTGTTAAAATGCTACAGTGGGGAATCATGGCAGACGTATCAAGGTAGACGCAGTGTGCCAAGCACAATATCGAACAATCGGCGTGGAGATTGGGAGGGCTGAACATTTGACACACCATGCATTCAAGTATCGCACTTTCTTCTTGTGCCCCCCACCCCCGTAAAAAGACTCACAACCACACAATTTTTTCATGGCCCTGAAATATATTGATATTCTAATGACCCACCCGCTTCAACACCGCAAATGAATTTCAATATTTCAGAAAAACAAAAGAAAATATTACTATGCACCAAACGCACTTGCAATTATTTTTTAAATGAAAATCTCATTTAGCGTAGTTATCGGGAATGTTATTTATCTCCCTTTGAAATGCAGGAAAAAAAACCAGAATTTTTTTTTAGTTTGGGCTGAAAATTTGCTAGATCGTGTTGCCATTTGCATTGACTCTATGTGCCAAGTGTCAGCTCGATAGGTTGGCGGGAAGTAGGTCAATTAGCTGTCTGAAATGTTTGCAAGTCCGCCACCCAACCAACCAGCCAGCCAGCCAGCCACACATGAACACAAGCAAAATTAATTTAAAGACTTTAAGAAGCCAAACTAATTTCTTCAATAAAATAAATTTGATATTTGAAAGTTAAGTACCGGTCTCATTCTTAAGTTCTGGAAACATCTCATTGGGAATCCACCCCTTGGCACTTAACCCTAATTTAGCATCCACTCTTAATTTGGTACCCACCCCACTGCCAGGAATTCCTTGAATTGTGTATTTGTGCAGTTTGAGAATTATTTAAAAGACCGTTTTACGCTAAATTTATTTCAAATAAAAGATCTGGCTGTCAGGCGTCAATCTCAAGAACCCCATTTAAATGATTTTGTTTTAAAGTTCAGATAAAAAAAAAAAAACACAGCTAAAAATGTAGTTTGTTTGAACACATGTATGACATGTATGTATGGCTATCAAATTCAGTTCAATGCATTATGACGTCATAGTTTTTAATGACTCATATGATTAACATTAACCATTACCCGCCACCCTCTTTTTTTCGCCTCACAATTCTCCACCCCTGGCACAGAGGATGTACAATGTACAAGAGAGTAGTACATTCCACATGGTTGTCGCTATTGTCCGTGTTTGGGTACCAGATCAGCTGACTCGGCGGCATCCATCAAACAGACCAAACCAATGCGCAAGACAACTCACGCATCTATAAATAACCCACTGATGACTGTTGAGATTAATGGATTAGTGTCCGGAGATTTGGGGAGGAGGCTGCGTTCTCTGAAGTTGGGAAGGGGGGGGGGGTAGACCTATTAATGCTGAGTTACCCATCCACTCCAGCTGGTGATAATGACTTGTATAAATAGGGACAACTCGAGGTGATTGGTCACCACAGCCCAGCAGACCAGAAAGAAAGGAAACCCATTTAGCTGTGTAGTTTCATTGAACTCATTTGAATTTATTTTTAATTCTTATAGATTTACATTAATAGTCCGATTATCGAATTGTAAAACACAACTTGTCGTGCTCCGGACCTAACAGTTGATACATACAGTTGGTTTAGTCAGACACAAATGCGATATTAAAACACGTTTCTTGTAAAAGTATTTTTAAAAAAATTTTCTTGGTCGAACGTGTAACTAGAGTACGTGCAGCTCATCTGGAGGAACAGTTCATTCCTGTTTGTTAAAGTTTGAATTTCATTGAATTACAGACACGTTTGTCAATGTTTTAAACACATTTTAACATAGCTATCTGCAAGTTGCAGTTCTTAAACACAGTATAACATAGCTATCTGCAAGTTGCAGTTCTTAAACACAGTATAACATAGATATCTGCAAGTTGCAGTTCTTAAACACAGTATAACATAGCTATCTGCAAGTTGCAGTTCTTAAACACATTATAACATTGCTATCTGCAAGTTGCAGTTCTTAAACACATTATAACATTGCTATCTGCAAGTTGCAGTTCTTAAACACATTATAACATTGCTATCTGCAAGTTGCAGTTCTTAAACACAGTATAACATAGATATCTCCAAGTTGCAGTTCTTAAACACATTATAACATTGCTATCTGCATGTTGCAGTTCTTAAACACATTATAACATTGCTATCTGCAAGTTGCAGTTCCTAAACACATTATAACATAGCTATCTGCAAGTCTCAGTTCATTTAAACACATTATAACATAGCTATCTGCAAGTCTCAGTTCATTTAAACACATTATAACATAGCTATCTGCAAGTCTCAGTTCATTTAAACAATTTATAACAAAGCTATATGCAAGTCTCAGTTCATTTAAACACATTATAACATAGCTATCTGCAAGTCTCAGTTCATTTAAACACATTATAACATAGTTATCTGCAAGTATCAGTTAATTTAAACACATTATAACATAGGTATCTGCAAGTCTCAGCTCATTTAAACAATTTATAAAATAGCTATCTGCAAGTCTCAGCTCATTTAAACAATTTATAAAATAGCTATCTGCAAGTCTCAGTTCATTTAAACACATTATAACATAGTTATCTGCAAGTCTCAGTTCATTTAAACATGATTTAGTGTCAACACCGTTTTTATTATATTTTTTTTTGAAAGAAGAAGTGCGTCTCAATGGCAGTTTTCAAAAAGGCTCACTAATGTCATCTCTTACACATAGTTTGCTCGTGCTGTGACTGCTTCCGTGTCCAGTTAGTGCGAAAAATATAATTCCCAATAACTACGCTACATGATTTTTTTTTAAAATAACGCAACTGCGTTCGGTGCGTAATTTTCTTTTCAGAAAATGAAATCGTCTCAATTTAAGTATGGTGTAAAAAATATTCGGTTTAAAATCGGTTGGGACATGAGAATATTAATATAGTTCATCGGTGTGAATTAAAAAGTGTGCAGTGACGTATCATGGGGGAAAGGGTGTAGCAAATATTGGGATTCTTTTAAATGTGCGTTTCTTGAGTTCATGTTTTGTCAAGTAACTTTAGTACATGGGAAGGTCACGCATTGCTGTCACCAATGTTTGGCGAGTTATAACTAGTTTATTATATTTTCTTTTAAATCTTTAACAAGGGTTGTTTAGCTTTATCAGTCAAGGTTTTAGATTTTTTTGTAAATATGTATATATTTTTTTTTTTAAATTGTGTTTTTCCTCAACTGTGTCCGTTCTTTTTACACTGATTTCATTTCGATGCCATTTCCCTGTGGCAGGAACAAAATAAACATGGGAATTCTAATAGTGGCCTTGGCCCTTCTGGCGGTTGCAAGTGAGTAGTAATTGTTCATAATTTCCTGCTTAAATCATATTTAATGTAAGTATGCGGTAATAATAGGAAATATTTTAAAATAAAATAAGAGAAGACAGGGTGAGATTAGAAGACAGGGTGAGATTAGAAGACAGGGTGAGATTAGAAGACAGGGTGAGATTAGAAGACAGGGTGAGATTAGAAGACAGGGTGAGATTAGAAGACAGGGTGAGATTAGAAGACAGGGTGAGATTAGAAGACAGGGTGAGATTAGAAGACAGGGTGAGATTAGAAGACAGGGTGAGATTAGAAGACAGGGTGAGATTAGAAGACAGGGTGAGATTAGAAGACAGGGTGAGATTAGAAGACAGGGTGAGATTAGAAGACAGGGTGAGATTAGAAGACAGGGTGAGATTAGGTCAGATTATTTCATTCAACCAAATCTACGGGGAAACACTTTTGGACAACATAAATTTTTTTAAATTGAATTTGTAGTCGCCTCTTTTTAGTTATTAACTTAGTCATTGACTGGACACAGTAGACAAATGGGTCCATAACTACCAAAACAAAATGGTGGCCAGCTGCGTATCGTTTTATTTTCACTGTTGTGAAATACTTGAGGTAGCCAGGTAGAAAGAAGCTCTACTAATGAAATTAAGGTGGCCAGGTAGTAAGAAGCTCTATTGATGAAATTAAAGGTGGCCAGGTAGTGAGAAGCTCTACTGATGAAATTAAGGTCGCCAGGTAGTAAGAAGCGCCACTAATGAAATTAAGGTGGCCAGGTAGTAAGAAGCTCTACTAATGAAATTAAGGTCGCCAGGTAGTAAGAAGCTCTACTAATGAACTTAAGGTGGCCAGGTAGTAAGAAGCTCTACTGATGAAATTAAGGTGGCCAGGTAGTAAGAAACTCTACTGATGAAATTAAGGTGGCCAGGTAGTAAGAAGCTCTACTGATGAAATTAAGGTGGCCTGGTAGTAAGAGTCTAACGAAATTCCGTATGGACTTTGTGTGTGTGTGTGTGTGTTTTCTTAAGCGATTTGTTATTCACTCACAGCCATTATCGGCATCAAGGCAAAGCACGTTTGTTAACAGTGTGTTGCTAGGGAACACCGAAAATGTGCTGTTGAGAAAATGTGCAGCCGGCAGTCCCTTTAGCACTGCACACTGCTTGGTCACGTGGATGTTCTCCTATTGGCTGTTCTTCGGCTTATATAGTACGCGGCAGTCCCCCCTTCCCCCTCCCCCCTCCCCTTGATGTTACATTTATATTGGTGAAACACAATTAGAGTTTTCTAAATTGTTACAAACATGTTTAGTCATTTTCAGAACAACACACACGCACATACACACACGTGCACACACTAACACACACATACACACACGCACATACACACACACACGCACATACACACACGTGCACACACTAACACACACATACACACACGCACATACACACATACACGCACACACACGCACATACACACACGCGCACACACTAACACACACACACACACGCACATACACACACGCACGCACACACACGCACATACACACACACGCAAACTCTCCTGATTAACATTTTATAAAATTATTCTCCAAGTGTTAAGTGGCCTAAAAACGTGTAATAAAACCATTTGACCAAGTTCCCCTCTTTGTCATGTCATAATTAATAAAATCATCGCATCAATATATATATTTTTTCTGGTAACAGGGGCGGAAGTAGTGATTACCGTAACACCGGAAGTTGTGAACCCTGGGTTGACGCCGTCGTTCGCTGTTAACTGCGCCTTGGTTGAAATGGAAGAAGTCAAAATCGTGACACTAACCATTTCAAGGTCAGTCCCAAATGTGATGGGTTCCTCTTATGTTCCTGTTGTGATGCTGTTGTGTTCCTGTTGTATTCCTGCTGTGTCCCTACAGTGGTCCCGTGTCTTGATGTTGGGAGCTGTGAACACAGCACCTGTATCTTATAATAGGCTGCAAGTTCCTTTAATAAACTGGGGGCACAGCAGAGTTTGACATTATGTTTCTTTTAAATATAAACTCATTGTGCGGTGAGAGCGCTTTAGGATATTACCCCGAGAAAACCATTCAGCAGACTTCCCTCTCTCTCTCTCCCCCCCTCTCTCTCTCCATGTGTAAATCTTTTGATCCATGCATGGAACCTGTGAAGCCTTGATCCAGCCCTTACACCACCAACCACTAGCAAAGTTGAGCAGCAACTAACATTGAACAACAAAGAATGTACTCTTTCGTAAGATGTCAACGTACTTTGAGTTAAACAATCTAAAATATTTCAAGTTAAACTGTTCAACATTTGTGAATACACTGTGTGACGTCATGACACTCGAGATCATGGGCATTAAAGCCTTTCAGTTTTAAAGAAAGAACATTTTTATGACGTCAAATGCTCATCACACATGTTTTAAAATTATTATTTGTATGCAATACACATTACAACCAATGCTCTGTCACAATACACATTACAACGAATGCCCTGTCACAATACACATTACAACCAATGCCCTGTCACAATACACATTACAACGAATGCCCTGTCACAACACACATAACAACCAATGCTCTGTCACAACACACATTACAACCAATGCTCTGTCACAATACACATTACAACCAATGCCCTGTTACAATACACATTACAACCAATGCCCTGTTACAATACACATTACAACCAATGCCCTGTCACAATACACATTACAACCAATGCCCAGTCACAATACACATTACAACCCATGCCCTGTCACAATACACATTACAACCAATGCTCTGTCACAATACACATTACAATCAATGCCCTGTTACAAGACACATTGCAACCAATGTTCACAATGCACATTACAACCAATGCCCTGTTACAATACACATTACAACCAATGACCTGTTACAATACACATTACAACCAATGCTCTGTCACAATACACATTACACCCACAACCAACGCCCTGTTACAATACACATTACAACCAATGTTCTGTCACAATACACATTACAACCCATGCCCTGTCACAATACACATTATAACCAATGCCCTGTCACAATACACATTACAATCAATGCCCTGTTACAAGACACATTGCAACCAATGTTCACAATACACATTACAACCAATGCCCTGTTACAATACACATTACAACCAATGCCCTGTTACAATACCCATTACAACCAATGCCCTGTTACAATACACATTAAAACCAATGCCCTGTCACAATACACATTACAACCAATGCCCTGTTACAATACACATTACAACCAATGCCCTGTTACAATACACATTACAACCAATGACCTGTTACAATACACATTACAACCAATGCCCTGTCACAATACACATTACAACCAATGCTCTGTCACAAAGCACATTACAACCAATGCTCTGTTACAAGACACATTACAACCAATGCCCTGTTACAATACACAGTACAACTAATGCCCTGTTACAATACACATTACAACCGATGCCCTGTTACAATACACATTACAACCAATGTTCACAATACACATTACAACCAATGCCCTGTTACAATACACATTACAACCAATGCCCTGTTATAATACACATTACAACCAATGCCCTGTTACAATACACATTAAAACCAATGCCCTGTCACAATACACATTACAACCAATGCCCTGTTACAATACACATTACAACCAATGCCCTGTTACAATACACATTACAACCAATGCCCTGTTACAATACACATTACAACCAATGCCCAGTCACAATACACATTACAACCAATGCCCTGTTACAATACATATTACAACCAATGCCCTGTTACAATACACATTACAACCAATGTTCACAATACACATTACAACCAATGCCCTGTTACAATACACATTACAACCAATGCCCTTTTACAATACACATTACAACCAATGCCCTGTTACAATACATAAATACAACCAATGCCCTGTTACAATACACATTACAACCAATGCCCTGTTACAATACACATTACAACCAATGCCTTGTTACAATACACATTACAACCAATGTTCACAATACACATTACAACCAATGCCCTGTTACAATACACAGTACAACTAATGCCCTGTTACAATACACATTACAACCAATGCCCTGTTACAATACACATTACAACCAATGTTCACAATACACATTACAACCAATGCCCTGTTACAATAAACATTACAACCAATGCCCTGTTATAATACACATTACAACCAATGCCCTGTTACAATACACATTACAACCAATGCCCTGTTACAATACACATTACAACCAATGTCCTGTTACAATACACATTACAACCAATGCCCTGTTACAATACACATTACAACCAATGCCCAGTCACAATACACATTACAACCAATGCCCTGTTACAATACACATTACAACCAATGCCCTGTTACAATACACATTACAACCAATGTTCACAATACACATTACAACCAATGCCCTGTTACAATACACAGTACAACCAATGCCCTGTTATAATACACATTACAACCAATGCCCTGTTACAATACACAGTACAACTAATGCCCTGTTACAATACACATTACAACCAATGCCCTGTTACAATACACATTACAACCAATGCCCTGTTACAATACACATTACAACCAATGCCTTGTTACAATACACATTACAACCATTGCCCTGTTACAATACACATTACAACCAATGCTCTGTCACAATACACATTACAACCAATGCTCTGCCACACACACACAATGTGTCTATATTTGTAGACAATAAATCTACATAGTTTCAGAATAAGTTATGATTTAAACCGTGGGTCCTCAAACATTATATGATCAGGGGACTGATTCACTGTCTTGCCTAACTGACTGCCTACAGATTGTCTTGCTAACTGACTGTAGATTAACTGACCACTTCATTGACTAACGTCAACGATGCTATACAGACAGACTGTAGATTAACTGACCACTTCATTGACTAACGTCAACGATGCTATACAGACAGACTGTAGATTAACGCCGTCCCAACTTTTGATGAGATACAGACAGCGATCCGCCAAATGTCCAATGGCAAAGTACCTGGCCCCCACATGATTCCTGCCGAAATCTAAAAGGAGGGTGGACCAGCGCTGACGGATAAGCTATTGGGCTTATTCCAAATCATCTGGCAGACGGAAACTGTACCACAAGACCTCAAGGATGCCTCAATCATCCACCTGTACAAACACAAAGGTAACCACCAGACATGCGACAATCACCGCGGAATTTCACTACTGTCCATTGCAGGCAAGATCTTGGCCCGAGCCCTTCTGAACCGCCTGAATGCACATCTGGAGCTAGGTCTCCTACCCGAAAGTCAATGCGGTTTCTGGAAAAAACGCGGAACCATCGATATGGTGTTTGCTGCTAGACAGCTTCAAGAGAAATGCCAGGAACAAAATACAGACCCATATTTATCGACTTGAATAAGGCCTTTGACAGGGTCAATAGAGCTGGCTTGTGGAAAATCATGAAGAAATACGGATGCCCAGACAAGTTCACAAACATCATCCGTAAGCTGCATGATGGTAGGTTGGCCCGAGTACAGGACAACGGTCAATCATCTCCAGCATTCCCCGTCACAAACGGTGTAAAACAGGGTTGTGTTCTTGCTCCCACACTCTTCAGTATTATGTATTCCGTATGTCTCGACATCAGGTGGCAAGACAAAGTCCCCGACAACGAGGTCCTCGCTAGAGCGAACCTACCTAGTATCTTCACCACTCTGATGCAGTCTCAGCTCCGTTGGATGGGACACGTAGCCCGTATGGCAGACCACCGGCTCCCGAAACAAATATTCTTTGGAGAACTCACGATAGGCAAGCGCTCCCAAGGAGGCCAAAGAAAGCGTTACAAAGACTCACTGAAAGTGGCACTAAAGGCCTTCAGCATAAACCCTACTCAGTGGATGCAGACAGCCCAGGACAGAGCCAGACGGAGAGCTGCTGTCAAGAAGGGGGCTAAATCCCATGAAGCTAAGAGAATAACCACAGCTGAGACACGCAGGCTTGTCCGAAAGAGCAACATTAGGTCATCGCCTGAAGCAACGATTCCATGCCCACGGTGTCATAGATTATTCCGAGCAAGGATCGGTCTAACAAGCCACCTAAGAGCTCACCGTAATCCCACCCCCCCCCTGCCCGCCCCTAACCGGATGATTCGATGGTCCTTGTCGACTTCGACGGACGAACAACATAGATTAACTGACCACTTCATTGACTAACGTCAACGATGCTATACTGACAGACTGTAGATTAACTGACCACTTCATTGACTAACGTCAACGATACTTTACAGACAGACTGTAGATTAACTGACCACTTCATTGACTAACGTCAACGATGCTATACTGACAGACTGTAGATTAACTGACCACTTCATTGACTAACGTCAACGATGCTATACAGACAGACTGTAGATTAGCTAACCACTTCATTGACTAACGTCAACGATGCTATACAGACAGACTGTAGATTAGCTAACCACTTCATTGACTAACGTCAACGATACTTTACAGACAGACTGTAGATTAACTGACCACTTCATTGACTAACGTCAACGATATTTTACAGACAGACTGTAGATTAACTGACCACTTCATTGCCTAACGTCAACGATGCTATACAGACAGACTGTAGATTAGCTAACCACTTCATTGACTAACGTCAACGATGCTATACAGACAGACTGTAGATTAGCTAACCACTTCATTGACTAACGTCAACGATGCTATACAGACAGACGTTTGGAAAAGATGGCATGCTGACGCTAAAGAAAGAAGTCATCGCCAAGATAGACGCCATGACACCACAAGCTCCTCTCCCATCTCTGAAATACCCAAGTGTAACAGTCCTAGGGGCGCTAACCAGTATAGAGGTAATGACGCTAGTCTCATAGCATGAGTTATATTTCTTTCATTCAGCCCCATTGCGCGGACGCGTAGGTGAAGAAAAAAAATTGTCCTTCACTCATTTCGAATAAAATAATTTCTGAAAAATGTATAATTAAATTTATAATCAGATGTATGTTCAATAATATTTTCATATGTGTGATGGCGAAGCCATCGTTTTACGTCAAGGGCTACTAACCGGTTTGGCATAAACTCGTCAGATCAGAACTATATGACGCTACTTGTTTTAAATTTTAAATTGTTTGACCTAATGATAAAGAATGCTTCAAGTATTATTGATAACAGCTAATCTTTCTATGTTTTTAAATGTGCATACCTTTAGTCCGAACTGGGCAGCTACCTGACCGCTGTCTGGCCCAACCCTCGTCTTGAAGACCTGGGGCTGTACACCTGTGACGCCACCGTGGTGGGTGAATTCGGGGTACTTGAGCCCCTGACCGCTGCCCTCCAGATAACAAGTGCAAGTAAGTATTCTCGATATTGGCCCTTAGGCTGCACGCCATTGGTGAGATCTTGGATATATAACGGCTCAGTCTAAGTCGTTATAGAAAAAATGGACATATTCTCACATGAGAGAGGTATAGTGGACATTTCTCGGCAGCCCATACAACAAGTGAATACAAATCCACCACTCCTGGCTTCGTCATAGAACTCTTAAAAAGATTTGACATCCCCCCTCCCTCAAAGACAGGCGAGAAAAAGCTCCGTTTAACATTGCTATATAAAGTGGTCGAGTGGCTAGGGCTGGCCATCTCAGCTAACACGTATCTCACCCCACAGAAGCCAGGTCGCTTAATCAGAGCCTAACGCTCAATAAACACTGACTTCACCTCTGACAACTCCATGAGCATTCACACCCGGAACAATGATAATTGCTCCACTGTGCCTCGGTGTAGTACAGTTCAATATAAACAATCATTCTTCCCACGGACAATAATTGCTTGGAACGAACTGGACAATGCCGCCGTGGACTCGACATCAATCGAGAGTTTCAAGGCTGCCCTGGCACCCTCTAGGAGCCGTTAGGATACCTACATCGCTTCCGAAACAATTGCACATGTGCCAGTACATGGATGCAGCAACGTACCCTATCAGAATCAGAACAACATATCGGGGGGAAGAAAGGAAAATGCGATTCGTGTGCAAAAAACGGCACGCTCATAAAAAAATAAATAAATTCTACTTTGAATATTTATACGTCTGAGAAATAAATAAAGAAATATATTTTTTTAAACATGTCCTGTGCATTGATTAATTTGGGTAAGAAGAGTAACTTTGGTGGCGTCTCTGTTGTTGTTTTGTTGTTGTTTTTTTATCATTGAGGACTTTTACTTTACAGACCCCGTAGTGGACAGAGTGCTTGTCGCTCTCGTAGCTTTGGAAGCCAAGCTGGACGGCTTCAACCAGACTCTGGTGTCTTTCCAAACACAGCTGGACAACGTAACAGCCGAAGGTGGGTGCCTAGAAGCGCGATCCACATGTTCGGCATTGGGGGGGGGGGGGGGTCCCCTAATTTCTTTNAGTATTGGAATCTTTCCTGACGAAAGATTCAGCAATTGTGTCCCACAAAGTATATTTGCTCTGTCGACATTAACAGTGAAGGGTCTACCACATTTTTGGGTGATGGTTTCTTACAATAAAGATTTAATTTTAAGCTGTGTGACTGTAATGAGTTGAGCCAACTAGGGGGGGGGGGAAGGAAATTTTTTTTACAATTGCCGACAAGGATTCGTAACGGCCGGCATTTCCAGACTAATGAACAACTGCAGACTTACTCCCCAGGACCTCGGGGGATTTATCATAGGAGCCAAAACATTGAATAATGTATTCAAAATATTTAAACAGAAATATTTGTAACTGTATGACGCCACCCAGGCCAATCCTTGTTGGCAATATGTTGTCACTGATCTTCTTAAACACCTTGTCACTTTACAGCTCAACTCCGAGAAGCAGCCCTTTCAGAGCAGTTGGCTACTACAGCAGCACCAACAACTACTACAACAACTGCAGCACCAACTACCGTAACAGATGAGACAACGACCAGCGCCGGAACTACCCCGGCTGAGACGACCACAACTGCCGCCCCTACAGGTACCAAAGAAGGAAATAAATTGTTAGCCTAGGTCAGAGGTCATCAATGTCTACGGGTGGCCCCGCATGTGGTTCTCATCATGCGAACCATGCCTGTGACATAATACAATAATTCTTAGCAATTCTTCCATACAGCCCATAAACAAGACATATAATGGGGTTAGACCAGTCATGATTTTAAAATTTGAGGAGAAGAGATCAAGTAATTTGGTTTCACTTTAGCATCATTGGTCCCATGTCAAGTAAGCATGAATTTAATGACGATACCATGAATTAATGTCGACAGCATCAATTGAAAGGATAGAAATGGTTCAGATTGAATTTATACAGAGTTTCTCTATCTATTTATCGCTGGGTCTGATTCAATGGGCCCTAACTTAACTTACTGGAATCGCTTGGTCTGATTTAATGGGCCCTAACTTAACTTACTGGAATCGCTTGGTCTGATATAATGGGCCCTAACTTAACTTACTGGAATCGCTTGGTCTGATTTAATGGGCCCTAACTTAACTTACTGGAATCGCTTGGTCTGATTCAATGGGCCCTAACTTAACTTACTGGAATCGAGTTAAGATACAACGACAATATTTTGGAAACAACCAGAATTGAACAAAAAAAAGCATGCGTCATTCACGGGCAAGTTACTCTGAACGTCCCCGTACTAGTTAGGAGGTGCTCTTTTTTATTCTAAATACCCCCCCCCCCCTTTTTTTTTTTTTCCCTTTTCTTTTAAAAACACCCTCAGTTCAAACTGAATATTTTAAAAACAAATCTAAATATTTTTTTACCACAGCGTCCATCATTGATCAGCTGATACTAGCCCTTGAGATCATCACCGTACGACTAGACACTGTTAACACCACAGTTACCGCTCTTGAAGATAAGGTAACAGCTTTCGAGGCGGTCAACGTGACAGTGTCCTCCCTTGAAGAGAAAGTAACCGCATTGGAAGCCGTCAACGACACGGTTGTGGTCCTTGAGGAGAAGCTCGTCGCGTTTGAGGCGGTCAACGCCTCGGTGGTCGTCATCGAAGAGAGGCTGGTCGCCTTGGAGGCGGTCAACGCCTCGGTGACCGCTCTTGAAGAAAAGGTCACCACGTTTGAGTCCATCAACGCCTCGGTGGTCGTCATCGAAGAGAAGCTGGTCGCCTTGGAGACGGTCAACGCCTCGGTGACCGCTCTTGAAGAAAAGGTCACCGCGCTAGAGTCCATCAACGCCTCGGTGGAGGTCCTTGAAGAGAAAGTGGCCGCGCTCGAATCACCAGGTAGTCCTTACAACAGCATATCTTTGAAGCTGGCTTATTTAACAACTGACAATTTAAATAGCTTAGTAATTAATTCGCTTTTTAACATTTTGGAAATGTTATTAGGAAACCTTGTTAGAATCAACTAAAACATATTCCAATTAATTTAATTAAACAATATAAGATACGCTTCACGGCCCACTCGGTATGAACAAGTCAGACATCTGAACAAGCGGAAATATTCACAGTTATTTTTACTGCGCTCTGTTGTTGTATTTTCATTTGTTCGCTGAAGAAGGCTCTTGGCCGAAACATTGACATCTTATTGTCATGTCTTTTGATTCAAGCTTCCAAATACCTTGTCCTACTATTTCATATTCACCCTTCCGGTTGTCTCGGTCGCAGGGGCTAATCGGAACTGAACATTTGAACATTCCATGGCGAGTCAGAAGCAAATGTTTAACAATAGAGTTTAGCATTTGAACATTCCATAGCGAGTCACAAGCACATGTTTAACAATAGAGTTTAGCATTTGAACATTCCATAGCAAGTCACAAGCACATGTTTAACAATAGAGTTTAGCATTTGAACATTCCATAGCGAGTCACAAGCACATGTTTAACAATAGAGTTTAGCATTTGAACATTCCATAGCAAGTCACAAGCACATGTTTAACAATAGAGTTTAGCATTTGAACATTCCATAGCAAGTCACAAGCACATGTTTAACAATAGAGTTTAGCATTTGAACATTCCATAGCAAGTCACAAGCACATGTTTAACAATAGAGTTTAGCATTTGAACATTCCATAGCAAGTCACAAGCACATGTTTAACAATAGAGTTTAGCATTTGAACATTCCATAGCGAGTCACAAGCACATGTTTAACAATAGAGTTTAGCATTTGAACATTCCATAGCGAGTCACAAGCAAATGTTTAACAATAGAGTTTAGCATTTGAACATTCCATAGCGAGTCACAAGCAAATGTTTAACAATAGAGTTTAGCATTTGAACATTCCATGGCGAGTCACAAGCATATGTTTAACAATAGAGTTTAGCATTTGAACATTCCATAGCGAGTCACAAGCAAATGTTTAACAATAGAGTTTAGCATTTGAACATTCCATAGCGAGTCACAAGCAAATGTTTAACAATAGAGTTTAGCATTTGAACATTCCATGGCGAGTCACAAGCATATGTTTAACAAATTTCGTCTCCTTCTATTTCAGTGGTGGAGAACATAACGGAAGGTAATCATCATCTGTATATTGTGGACGTCTAGATTGATTGTGTGTATTGTGGACGTCTATATTACGTGTATATTGTGGACGTCTATATTACGTGTATATTGTGGACGTCTATATTACGTGTATATTGTGGACGTCTAGATTGATTGTGTGTATTGTGGACGTCTATATTACGTGTATATTGTGGACGTCTATATTACGTGTATATTGTGGACGTCTAGATTACGTGTGTATTGTGGACGTCTAGATTACGTGTGTATTGTGGACGTCTAGATTGATTGTGTGTATTGTGGACGTCTAGATTGATTGTGTATATTGTGGACGTCTAGATTACGTGTATATTGTGGACGTCTAGATTTAGTGTGTGTATTGTGGACGTCTAGATTACGTGTGTATATTGTGGACGTCTAGATTGATTGTGTGTATTGTGGACGTCTAGATTACGTGTATATTGTGGACGTCTAGATTACGTGTATATTGTGGACGTCTAGATTACGTGTGTATTGTGGACGTCTAGATTACGTGTGTATTGTGGACGTCTAGATTGATTGTGTGTATTGTGGACGTCTAGATTGATTGTGTATATTGTGGACGTCTAGATTACGTGTATATTGTGGACGTCTAGATTTAGTGTGTGTATTGTGGACGTCTAGATTACGTGTGTATATTGTGGACGTCTAGATTGATTGTGTGTATTGTGGACGTCTAGATTACGTGTATATTGTGGACGTCTAGATTACGTGTATATTGTGGACGTCTAGATTACGTGTGTATTGTGGACGTCTAGATTACGTGTGTATTGTGGACGTCTAGATTGATTGTGTGTATTGTGGACGTCTAGATTGATTGTGTATATTGTGGACGTCTAGATTGATTGTGTGTATTGTGGACGTCTAGATTGATTGTGTGTATTGTGGACGTCTATATTACGTGTATATTGTGGACGTCTATATTACGTGTATATTGTGGACGTCTATATTACGTGTATATTGTGGACGTCTAGATTACGTGTATATTGTGGACGTCTAGATTACGTGTATATTGTGGACGTCTAGATTGATTGTGTGTATTGTGGACGTCTAGATTACGTGTGTATATTGTGGACGTCTAGATTTAGTGTGTATATTGTGGACATCTAGATTTAGTGTGTATATTGTGGACGTCTAGATTGATTGTGTGTATTGTGGACGTCTAGATTACGTGTGTATATTGTGGACGTCTAGATTTAGTGTGTATATTGTGGACATCTAGATTTAGTGTGTATATTGTGGACGTCTAGATTTAGTGTGTATATTGTGGACGTCTAGATTTAGTGTGTATATTGTGGACGTCTAGATTTAGTGTGTATATTGTGGACGTCTAGATTACGAGTGTACATTGTGGACGTCTAGATTACGTGTGTATAATGGTTCTGTGCATGTTTTAGAATGTATGGATACAAATTGATATATTCATGAAACTGTAATGAAAGTTGATTGTCGAATATATGTTCATGCTTATTGCGATATATATGTGTCTTATGCATAAGATTTGTTGTAAATGTTAAAACACGTGTCACTTAACCAAGACACCGAACCCATGAGACGGTTAACTTCCTAGAATTATCAGTGTTCCTAGAGGAAAAAAAAAAGAAACTAGGAATTATTCCCTTATTAATTATTTAGGTGCGTATCATCACATTTCAATTAAAAACCAGTTGACAAATGAAGTGTCGAGAAGAGAAACTCAATTAGGCTATAACCTAACGGCACACTTTTATCTTACTTAAACAAATGTATGGAAGTAAATGTTAGAGACAAACAAGTATTTAAAAAATCGAATAGTTATGACCAGACACAAAACGCATTTTTTTGGGTCACTTGCAGTTACAGTGACAGAGCTACTGGCAGCAAAAGTGGCCATACTGATTGCCAGGCTGGAGGCGTTCAATGCGACTGTGGTGGCGTTGGAGCAGCAGGTCGCTCAGCTCGTGGCTGATGGTGAGAATTGCTCAATGACTTTTACTATTTTGACTTTAAGACTATGTTATTCCAAGTCAACCTGTAGTGGCACGTGTTGAAACCAATTTTTATAATGAAATAATTGGTTCAAGGTCCAAGTTAGTGGAAAAAACATGTTTTATGCGACTAAGTAGTCCCCGTTAAAGCACTAATTTTTTAACCTGTAGTTACTTTACTTGTAACTGATATTATTATTTCTATGTTTCAGAGTTTGAGAATGACACCATAACTGAAACAAAACCAGGTATATAATCCTATCCCATAATAACTGAAACCAAACCAAGTATATAATCCAATCCTATTATATCTGAAACCAAACCAGGTATATAATCCAATCCTATTAAATCTGAAACCAAACCAGGTATATAATCCAATCCTATTATATCTGAAACCAAACCAGGTATATAATCCAATCCTATTAAATCTGAAACCAAACCAGGTATATAATCCAATCCTATTTTATCTGAAACCAAACCAGGTATATCATCCAATCCTATTAAATCTGAAACCAAACCAGGTATATGATCCAATCCTATTATATCTGAAACAAAACCAGGTGTATCATCCAATCCTATTATATCTGAAACAAAACCAGGTGCATCATCCAATCCCATAATAATTTCTTTGAAATATTTCCTCTTACTCATAACACTTCAGTTTTTGAACTACTTCCTATTTCCTTGTTGTATTTTCATTTGTCCTGTCTGGTGAAGAAGGCGCTTAGTCGAAACGTTCTTGTTGTATTTTCATGTGTCCTGTCTGGTGAAGAAGGCGCTTAGTCGAAACGTTCTTGTTGTATTGTCTTGTCTTTCTTTTTTGAATCTTCCACATACATTTCCTTCACACGGCTTGAACGCAGTCCTTCGTCTATTTTCCTCTTACCCGGCATGCTTTGCTCTCTAACAGACCCTCTTCATTGTTGAACTTGTCAATGAATGTTTGAATTTTGAGCAGAAGCAGATGTTAAAATGGGCCCAGGGACATTTCCTCTAGCATAATCACACCCTTCGTCACTAAATCTCTTGTCCCCAAATGTCAACTTGCAGCAGACGACCTGAGGCGGTACTTCGTGTCAACCAACTCCAGCTATTTCCTGATCAGGGGCAAGGAAGACACCGACAGCTTCAAGGCTCAGGTGGGTGGGGGTGTGTGGTTGTATGTCTGTGTGTGTGTGTGTGTGTGTGTGTGTGTACAGTTACTAGTACAGTTATTTAAGCAATGAATGGTACAATTATGGTACAAAAACGGTACAGTTATCGCAACAGTTAGTGACACAATTATTTGTACAGTTACTGGTATATGCATATGATGGTACAGTTATTGGTACATTAAATGGTATATTTATTGCTACATATACTAAGAAAATGATTGTTACAGTTATTGGTAAAGTACAGTTATCGGTACATTTACTAGCTCAGTTACTTAGATCCACAATCACTGGTACATATTCATGAAAAATCTCTAACGTCAAACAACGGTGTACGTTTTGTACGCAGACATCATGGATATCTCGAAAACTAGTAACCATGGTTACAAACAAACCCTTAGTTTTTGAAACACACAGAACGACTGTTTCTCACCAATGATTCATGATATGGACTCACAACTACACGATGATAGATTGATGCGGAAGTGGTTGAAATTTTACGTATCCCTTTCATTTGCAAAATTGAAAAAGGAAAATAATCATTTCATGGGCATGAATTTATCAATCTTCATATATATACAGAAAACAATGTGTTTGAACTCCATTCCTTATTCTTTGTTGCTTCTTGTCGGTGAAGGCATCTAGCCGAAACGTTCCTGTTTAATTATCCTGGTCTTTTCATTTCAAGTCTGAACATATATTGTTGGTATATTTCCTTCACACGGCTTCAAGGCAGTCAAATGTTTACTATCTTAGACAGAAGCTTTAAGTCTATTAAGGGGAGGGGGGGGGAGGGTTTTGGACAACTTTGAAGTTTTAAGTCTATTTACACAATTATTTTTTTACTTTCCGACAGGCCGTCTGCGAATCAAAACAACTTTACCTCGCCGAGATCAACGACCAGGAAGAATTTAATCTCGTGGAGATTGAAGTTGGTAAGTAGCCTGTCAACTTGGCCTTTAAGAATATAACATTTATCGAACGAGCTCAGATTTGAAAAAAGTTCGAGTCCAAACTCTCCTGACTCAAGCTTTATTTCCAAACTCAGAAGTCTTGACTGCATCGGTACCACTTTGTCGTAAAACAGCTATTTGGAAATGAAATCTAGAAAACACACCAGTGCAAACTGAACAAAAAACATTCAGAACAACATATTTCCCCTCAGGTCCCTATGTGCTGGACGACTGGCCCATTCTGATTGGAGGGAAGAGACGTCTGGGGGCCACCGAATGGACCTGGCAGTACAGTGGGAACGTGGTGAGCTGATTCATGTCATTTTCTTATAGTCTGCATTGTCTGTCCCTTTCCTGGCTTGTCTAGCGTGCCTGCCTTATCTGCCTCACCTGCCTTATCTGTACCCTTCCTGCCTTGCCTGAATTGCCTGCGCCTTGCGTGACCTCTTCCTGGCTTGTCTGACTTGCCTGGCTTGTCTGACTTGTCTGTCCCATCCTGCCTGCTCTGTCTCGCTTGCCTCCTCTGCCTCGCCCGCCATGTCGGCCATGTCTGCCTATGCCGGATTTTAGTCATTTTCTAAACTATCGACACATTTTTCCATTGAACCTATTTCAGAATGAACACAATGGATCCCTGACCACATGCATTCTATCAATTATTGAGTAACTGGCATATCTTCTATATGTTATTTTCTGACGGCTTCGATGCCTTACACTGTCAACCTGTGGCAATAGCCAGTTAGCGATGTACACGATGTTTGTTATACATTATGTCATTTGCATCGAATAACGAATAGGCCAAGTTTTAATAATATTTTTTTCTCACTACAATAATTTAATTACATTAGTCTGATTGAAGACTTCAGATTTATAAAAATATATGTCACTGGGTGAGTCTGTGATTCTATATAAGTGTGTGTGTGCTTGTCTCTGTGTGAGTCTGTGATTCTGTATAAGTTTGTGTGTGCTTGTCTCTGTGTGAGTCTGTGATTCTGTATAAGTTTGTGTGTGCGTGTCTCTGGCTGAGTCTGTCATTCTGTATAAGTTTGTGTGTGCTTGTCTCTGGGTGAGTCTGTGATTCTGTATAAGTTTGTGTGTGCTTGTCTCTGTGTGAGTCTGTGATTCTGTATAAGTTTGTGTGTGCTTGTCTCTGTGTGAGTCTGTGATTCTGTATAAGTTTGTGTGTGCTTGTCTCTGTGTGAGTCTGTGATTCTGTATAAGTGTGTGTGTGCTTGTCTCAGTGTGAGTCTGTGATTCTGTATAAGTTTGTGTGTGCTTGTCTCTGTGTGAGTCTGTGATTCTGTATAAGTTTGTGTGTGCTAGTCTGTGGGTGAGTCTGTGATTCTGTATAAGTTTGTGTGTGCTTGTCTCTGTGTGAGTCTGTGATTCTGTATAAGTTTGTGTGTGCTTGTCTCTGTGTGAGTCTGTGATTCTGTATAAGTTTGTGTGTGCTTGTCTCTGGGTGAGTCTGTGATTCTGTATAAGTTTGTGTGTGCTTGTCTCTGTGTGAGTCTGTGATTCTGTATAAGTTTGTGTGTGCTTGTCTCTGTGTGAGTCTGTGATTCTGTATAAGTGTGTGTGTGCTTGTCTCAGTGTGAGTCTGTGATTCTGTATAAGTTTGTGTGTGCTTGTCTCTGTGTGAGTCTGTGATTCTGTATAAGTTTGTGTGTGCTAGTCTGTGGGTGAGTCTGTGATTCTGTATAAGTTTGTGTGTGCTTGTCTCTGTGTGAGTCTGTGATTCTGTATAAGTTTGTGTGTGCTTGTCTCTGTGTGAGTCTGTGATTCTGTATAAGTTTGTGTGTGCTTGTCTCTGGGTGAGTCTGTGATTCTGTATAAGTTTGTGTGTGCTTGTCTCTGTGTGAGTCTGTGATTCTGTATAAGTTTGTGTGTGCTTGTCTCTGTGTGAGTCTGTGATTCTATATAAGTTTGTGTGTGCTTGTCTCTGTGTGAGTCTGTGATTCTATATAAGTTTGTGTGTGCTTGTCTCTGTGTGAGTCTGTGATTCTGTATACGTTTGTGTGTGCTTGTCTCTGGGTGAGTCTGTTATTCTGTATAATTTTGTGTGTGTGTTTATGTATGTGTGTATGTCAATGTGGGCCTGTAACTGATGTCAATAAAAGTCCCATTTCGAATACATCCCTATCATATTAAATATACATTGTAAGAGAGCGAGATTCTTGAAGAGTCAGATTTAAAAAGTTTGGAATTAAAGTGTGCGTTTGAAGCGAGATTTTAAACATTCATTTTTGGATGAACAGATTAATGCTTGTAAATCTAGGGAATTGTAGCTTCTTGTGAATAAAGTTATAGAGTGTCGATAGCCTTAATTTAAGAACCACTGTTAAAAAACATTACATTTTAATGTTACTATTTAAAGCCCTGTCAGACTGGTGCGATCCTAATACAGTAAGCAATTTCAATTGTACATCAGATTAATTAGACACGAACCATTTGTGTCAATATTATAATATATGTTAAGCTTTAAGAATACTACAACATACATAAGTCAACGTCTCGGCGCATGCCATCATCAGTACAACAACAAAACATTTAAATAAGTCTAAATTAAATGTACATAATATATATATATATATATACGTACATGGGCGCCCGCAAAAAACTTTCTAAGGGGGGGGGGATTTTTTTAGTAATGTTTTAATGTAGTTTAAATTTACTGTAGCGTATTTGTATGGTGAACGAACGAAAAGGACATCAGCTTAGTTATTTTCTCTTTACTTTAATACATTTTTTGTCTATTTTTGTCTAAAAATTTGTATCTAATCAATCCGGGGGGGGGGGGCAAGCAGCCCCCTTGCCCCCCTCCCCCCTGCGAGCGCCCATGTATACGTATATCCTACCTAAGAAAAAGAGAACAAAAAATAGGAGTGGGGGCAAAATAACCAAAGAAAAACAAAGTATGCACAGGAAGTGACTTGGAGTTAAATGTAAAAACCCAAACAGGAAAAAGACATGGCAGTTAGATAAAATTGTACAACACATTCTTTTAAAACACACACACTCACTCACATTTGCAACAGTGTAATAATAAAATATATAAACTAGAATTACAAAGTACTAACTATTAGAGGCTTAATGTGTACTGTGAAATGTTTTTCATTACTCCAACAGGTCAACTACTTCTCCTGGGCCGTGGGCGAACCAGTTCTCGCCAGCATCAACAGCGACTGCATCGCTCTGAGAACTCTCGCGGGCCTGGCCGAGATGGTGTCCGTGCCCTGCTACACTGAGAAGCGCCAGTTCTACTTCCTGTGTGAGAAGGATCTCAAGTAGCCAGCTACCGTACCTACGCGACTGCCTATCACTCCATAACGACGCATTCATGACAAGCTTTCAGAACAAGAGTTAGCAAGGAGGACGTCCGAGATGGAAGAAAAAAAAAACTAAAGAAAAAATGTGATAGGTTTCAAGTGTCGTCTTGAAGTCTGTCAGTGCCACTGTCTGTTGTATGGTTGGAAGTAGAATATCATTCAAAAAAATAGTAGTGGAAAAAATTGAAAGGCTGTAAGATTTTTTTCCTTTTTTGTAAAGTATATAGATATAATTTCTATTTTATAAATTCATATGTCCTAGCTGAGTGTCTGTGATTGTACATAAATGTGTATATATACACACGACCACGCCTCTATAAAATAACTCTATTTAAATGTATAGAATAACGTGTCACAGGCTCAACAGTGGAATGAACTGTAGTCACAAGGAACGCCACCCACCAAGAACTGTTGCAATAAAAGAATGTATACAACACTGCTATTCACTTGATGTGTTTGGTTTCTGACTGACTGGTCTGCCTCTATGTGCTACTTTCATCTCACTGTCTCAACAAGTGTCCCTTAACCATTTCACATAATTTGTTAGATCAAGCATATACATACATAAACCGCTACAGGAATACCTCTAGTGTTGGCAGCATGCTAGAAACACTACGCTGATCACCATTGGAGAAACGACGACGACAATCCAGGCTCTCCATGATGTACAAGATAATGGGCTGGTCCACTGTTACAGTATTAAACAGAAACTCGTCCCTCTCCCCCATAGACAGCGACGAGGCCATGACAGGCAAATTCAGGCTCATACCAGCAAGAAGCCAGTATAGGAGCAACTCATTCCTGCCCAAGACAATCAGGGACTGAAACAATCTTTCAAAAGGAACGGTTGAGGCGACAACACTCGACACATTTGTGTCTATTGCCTCAAGCCTTCAAACCCCTAGTGCATGATTTCCTCATCTACACCAGTAACAGAAACATTTCAAATCCCATCTACATGCATAGGAGCCAAAATGATCAATAAATTGATCGTGGGCCCTTAAGATATAGAAGAAGAAGAAGTCTAATAAACGAATAGCCAGGCACACAGACTATTGGAATAAAAACACTTTATAAATGACTCGGGTTCTTCTTTATGACGCGTATATGTCACACAGATTCACCAGGTTACATTATCTCCTTATAACTACACAGTCTAGCCAAAACCACAGGAGCTATCACCCATGAACTTCTCATGACGATATTCCTAATCAACTGTAACTCTCTCTCTCTCTCCCACCCTCTCTCTCTCTCCCACTCTCTCTCTCCCACTCTCTCTCTTTCTCTCATTCTCTCTCCCACTCTCTCTCTTTCTCTCATTCTCTCTCTCACTCTCTCTCTCTCTCTCTTTCCCACTCTCTCTATCTCGCGCCATATATCCACACACGTGTTTATTCTTCTATTCCTGCCATCCAATGGTCATTCAGACACAATAATAACACACATGACACAACTCACGGGCACAAACAGCGTTCATACTAACAACAGTGGTTCTCATATCCTTGAAGGTTTATAGGAATTGTAAGTGGCAAGGGGTATGGCAATAATTACAGATTCACTTGTATTTATATCTGCAATGAGCGTAATAAAGTATGGGAAAACCTGAAAAGGGACGCAACAAAACAGCGAACGTGTCGGCAAGAGGCCTTGTTAAAGGAACAAACAACAGTAAAAACAATATAAAATGAAAACAAAATCTTAGCTGAAAATGTGTATCTGCGAGGAAATCAAGAGATATGTGATAGAATGTGAAAGAATCTGATATAATGTGGAAGAATGTGATAGAATGTGATATAATGTGATAGAGTGTTATAGAATGTGATAGGAATGTGATAGAATGTGAAAGAATATGATAGAATTTGATAGAATGTGATTAGAATGTGATATGAATGTGATAAAATGTGATATGAATGTAATAGAATGTGATAGGAATGTGATAGGAATGTGATAGAATGTGATAGACTGGGATAGAGTGTTATAGAATGTAATAGGAATGTGATAGAATGTGAAAGAATGTGATATGAATGTGATAGGAATGGGATAGAATGTGATAGAATGTGATAGGAATGTGATATGAATGTGATAGGACTGTGATAGAATGTGATAGGAATGTGATATAATGTGATAGGAATGTGATAGGAATGTGATATAATGTGATAGAATGTGATAGGACTGTGATAGAATGTGATAGGAATGTGATAGAATGTGATAGAAATGTCATATTTACTTATGACTCGTACCCACCAAACAGTGGCGGCCACAATGCCTGTACATCCAATCTATTAAAGTTAGTGCTCCCCCCACCCACCCCCTTTTTTTTAGGTTCTCAACCGCACACTGCTCACACCCCTGCACTATATTAATATTCTAATATAAACTCTATTTTATAGGCCTACCAATGATTTCTTCTTCTATATTTTGAGAGCCCAAATTCATTGTATTGATCATTCTAGCTCCTATGTTTCAAAGGGTTTCATGATGTTACTGTGCATGGTTTTTGAAGGGGACGCTTCACTGGTCTCATGGGCTACTCAGCCATGGTATTATGAACTGGGGGTTGGAAGACACAAGGCAATAGACGCAAAATCAAGTATATCCACCTCAGCTTTTGGAAGCTTGTTCCTGTCTCTTATTGTCTTTGGCAGGAATGATTAGCTCCTGTACTGAGTTCTTGTTTTTATTAGTCGAAACTGCATGTCGTGGCCTCGTCGCTGTCTAGGGGGAAGATGGACGAGTTTCTGTTTGATGCCGGAGCAGTTGACCAGCCCATTTATAACCATATTTATGATGATAAGACTGAGCTGCTCCCCATCGCGACCGCTCAGAAGCAAAAATCTGCAAATAACACGACATCCATTACTCTCTCAGGTGTGCGTATTGAGTTAGCTCAAACAATGCGGTACCTGGGTGTCTACCTAGATAGAAGACTAACTTTTGAAAGTCATATTAACATGCTATGCAAGGCGATTTTTCTGGAGCTGCGCAGGATTAGTCACATCAGGCCCTTCCTAAAAATTGATGCAACAAAGAGGCTGATGTCTGCATTTGTGCTATCACGCATGGACTATTGCAATGCTCTCATGGTGGGTCTTCCAGCTACGCTCCTGGATAAAATTCAAATAGCACAGAATAATGCGGCTCGCATAGTAAGAGTTGCATTGGCTGCCGGTGCGTGCTCGCATAGAGTACAAAATCGCAACTTTGTGCTACCGCTGCTTACATGACCTGGCGCCGTCCTATCTGAAAGAGCTGCTGACGCCTTATGTACCCACTAGAGAGCTCCGCTCATCCGATAGTGGCAAACTCTCGACACCACGTGTTTGCCTTGAGACTTACGGAAAGCGCACTTTCGCATTTGTTGGTCAAACAATTTGGAACGCCCTTCCTGTCGATCTCAGAAACAACCAGACACTGGAGTCCTTTAAAACCGATTTAAAGACACATCTATTTCGCAAATACCTTCTGGGATGATTGCCAACCTTATTTTACAGTTAATGCATAATGGCTGTGTTGCGTATGGTTGAAATGGCTAGAAAGACTTTGCCATTTGTAGGCTTGTAATTAGTTTTCGTAGTGTTGCGTTTGTTTTTAATGTGGTGAATTATAGATTTGTTTTTTGATGACTTTGTACCGCGCTTCGAGCCTTTGGGGATGAAGCGTGTGTTTTTGAAATGAATTTTATTATTATTATTATATTTAATTTGAGACTATTTCCGTAAAACAAAAGAATACATTGCACACCAAACGCACTTGCGGTAATTTTTAAGAATCTCATTTAGTGCGGTTATCGGGAATATTATTGAATGAAATCAGCGCCATCTGGTAGCGTTAGTGACAGTGTTTCATAGAGAAATGTTTATTTTGATAAGTGAAGCTGTCGGGTGGACTATCCCCCACATTGTCCCCCTACCAAGCGGCCAGTGATCTCATTGTTTAGTGCAGGGGTGGCCAACACGAGGCCCACCGGGAGTCATGTTGTGGCCCGCGGATGTAGGTCAAATGAACATAAATGATAACTTAATTGTACATATTACCAAAAGACGATTACATCATGAAACGCTCGTAGCATAAATGTTAAATTACGGCTAAAATAAATTTAAAATATCCCGCTTTTTCAAGAAAATTCCTAGAGTTTAGCTATTTCAAATATCTCGCTATTTGACAAAGAAGGCTACTTTGATTTTTTTGTCTGACGCTAGGTGTTGAAAACATTTAATATGAGACTTCAAACTTCTGATGTATATGTTCTGTTGTGTCTTCTGAAAGCTCACAGTTCTATCAAGATGATACTCATAACTACTTTCAGTCTCGCAATGCTCTCGGGCTCATACTCATAACTTCTTTCAGTCCAGCTTGACAAAGTTCCGTGTTATTCTTTAGTTTCGTTCTATTATCGTCATGGCGTCTGAGAGATTTTGCGATCGACGTCAAGATACATATTTATTCTATTTATTAATAAGAGTTCAAACTACTTGAACCAAGTATCCTGTCCACCATATCGATTCTATAGGGAAGTAAACCCTGAAATGTTTTATTTGTGTCATTTAAATTAATCAATTAGTATTAATTAGTGTTACCTTGGCGTCAACTTGTAAAAGCGTTAGATCAAAGAAGAAAAAAAATCACAGAATAATGAAGAAGTTTTCAAGACAGGTGGTAGTTTTCGTTGCCTGTTATGCAATCAATCTGTTTTGAAAGAGTATAACATCAAATGGCACTACGAGACTAAACATGCAAATAAGTTTGGTTAGTACAAAGGGCAATTTTGATACGATCAAGTAAATCACTTTTTTAAAACAATTCTGCACAACAAAAGATATTTACTAGAGCCGGTTCAGAGTCAACATGCTGTGTAAAAACTAGCTATGCGGTAGCCATGATGCTAGCAAAACAATCAAAGTCATATTCAGATAGTGAAATTGTTAATGAATTTTTAAAGAGCGTCGTTGAGTGTCGAGAAAAGAAGAAGAGACTTCTCAGTATTAAGTCTGTCTCGTCAGACTATTACGAAGCGTGTGGACGACATTGGCAAACATAATGAAGATAATTTGAAAAATCGAGCATCCGAGTTTATATTTTATGCTCTAGCATTGGATGAAAGCACAGATGTGGCAGATACTGCCCAACTGGCAATTTGTATGAAGGGTGTTGATGTCCATTTTAAAAAGACAGAAGAATTAGCGACACTGTATCCACTCAAGGACAATACAAAGTCACTAGATTTGTTAGAAGCCGTTGCATCGACATTGAATCGATTTTCGTTACCACTTAATCCGGTTTAACAACGGATGGTGCTCCAGCCATGGTTGGGAAGCACGAAGGTCTAGTCAAATTGAGTACAAATGAGGCCTCCAAAATCGGTAATGTTTTGATGCTAAATTTTCATTTCATTATTCCTCGGGTAAATTTATGTTCGAAGTCCTTCAAATGAACCATGTCATG